ATTATAAGACCTGTGGGAGTCTGTTTTGTTGAATGCAAGTACAGAAATTTCAGTTTTCATGGGAAGCTCTATGTTTTAAAACAAAATGTAGACCCAATTTTTGGACGTGAGTGGCTCCGAGAAGTCAAGATGGATTGGGCTGACATAAAACTTACGGATACTAACACATCAGAGGAACTTGATAAACTCCTAACAAACTTTCAAGACATTTTCAAGGCAGAAATCGGTGAAATAAATTCAGAACAAGGACATATACAGCTAAAGGAAGGGGCAAAACCAATTTTCGTCAAACCACGACAAGTACCTTATGCTCTAAGGAAAGCTGTTGAAGATGAGCTACATCGACTGGAGAGCAGTGGTATAATCTCTTAAGTTGAAAACTCACAATGGGGAACACCAATTGTTCCCGTAAAAAAGCCTAATGGAAGTGTAAGGCTCTGCGCTGACTACAAGGTGACAGCAAACAAACTAATATTAGATGAGAAGTACCCTATACCTCGCATTGAAGACATCTTTACACACATGAACAAAGGAAAATTTTTCTGTACCTTGGACATAAGTAATGCCTATCTGCACCTTCCAATGGATGAAGAATCAAGAGAAATACAAACCATAAGTACTCATTTAGGTTTGTACAAAGTAAATCGCCTAATGTTTGGTATAAAAGTAGCGCCAAGTATATGGCAACGATTTATGGACAAGGTTCTCCATGGACTAGAAGGCACTGTATGTTTCTTTGACGACATACTTATTCAAGGGAGCACATTCCAAGAAACTATGTGTCGACTAAAAGAAGTTTTTCAAAGAATTAGATAATACAACTTACGAATGAATCGGGACAAATGCAAATTCTTCAAGAAAAGTGTAAAGTATTTAGGTCATGTTATAGACGAGAATGGCCTTCATAAATCACCTGAAAATGTTGAAGCTATAAGTAAAGCAAAGAGACCAGAAGATATTACTCAACTCAGAAGTTTCCTAGGACTCACAAATTACTACACACGATTTGTGCCTAACATGTCAACCTATCTGGAACCATTAAACAATCTACTAAGACATGGAAAGAAGTTTACATGGAATAAAGAGTGCGAAGATGCCTTTGTGAAGATCAAAGCTGAAATCACCAGTGAACGAGTATTAGCTCATTATGATCCGAGTGAAGCATTGGTACTTGCTACAGATGCGAGTCCTACTGGCTTAGGTGCTTGTTTATCTCACAGATACCAAGATGGATCAGAGAAACCAATAGCATTTGCCTCAAGGACTCTCACAAAAGCAGAAAGAAAGTACAGCCAAATCGACAAAGAAGCTGTAGGAATTTACTGGGGTTTGAAGAAATTTTTCGCCTATTGTTATGGAAGACATTTTGTTCTAATAACAGATCATAAACCCCTCGTTTCCATTTTTGATCCTGCAAAAACCTTACCTTCAATGACAGCTTCGAGAATGTTTAATTATGCTCACTTTTTGTCAGGATTTGATTACACAATTGAATACCGCAACACAACAGAACACGCTAATGCAGATTTCTTATCTCGATTTCCGATCACTGAGGTTCCAGAAAATGTAATTGATGATCACGAGCAGTACCTGATAAACCAAGTGGAAGCAATGCCAGTGACAAGAAAAAAGATTGAAGAGGAAACAAGGAAAGTTGAAAATCTCAAAGTGATATTACACTATTTAAACACAGGGAAGAGTTTAAAAGAACTTGGATTAAGTGACAATGAGTTTTGCTTAATGGATGGCTGTGTGTTCAGAGGGAATAGAATCTGTGTCCCTTTAACATTAAGAAAACAAGTTCTAAACGAGTTGCATGCCGGTCATATGGGCATGACGAAGATGAAACTTCTGGCTAGAAGTTACTGCTATTGGCAAAATATTGATCAGGAGATAGAAAATTTAGTCAAAGATTGCTATTCATGCCAACAGAAACTCAAAAGTCCACCTAAGGAAACGATCCATCCATGGGAACCTCCAAGCGGGCCATGGGAACGTATCCACGTAGACTTTGCAGGACCACTAAAAGGCTGGAGTTACTTCATTGTTGTCGATGCTTACAGTAAATGGGTAGAGGTGATCCCGACTAAATCGACAACAACTGACTGGTGCTTAAAACAACTAGACAAACTATTTGCAACATTTGGTTTTCCTCATGTCCTCGTTTCAGAAAACGGGACTCAGTTTACATCAACTTTGTTTGAAAATTACTAGGGGTGGGCGAGTACTCGACCTTCGAGTAATTACTCGAGTTTTTTCAAATACTCGACCTCGAGTCGAGTAGTAATTACTACTCGAAAATTCCGAGTCGAGTAGTTATAAATAGTGCCAATTCACGATTTTCTACACCCATATTTAATAAATTATATTTTGTTTTGTGTTGATGCCTTATTTAATCCCCATTCCTACAAAAACAACTATCTAACCTCATATAGGTTAGACCAGCGTAAACCAAATGTTCAACAAACACCCATCGTCATTCGGCAGAGCTAGCAAGAGGACTACTAACAACAGACTTTCACTTTCCTACAACAGTCAACAATACGTCTCGATAACGATACAGTAAGTTGAAATAAAGCATTGAATGAATCTATCGAACTTGGGTCTTGGCAGAAAGAAAAGATAAGTTCCACTTTAAACTCAGTGTTGCCAGATGGACGATAATTTTTGTACTTTTACAACTGTTGTATTGGCGTAAACAAATTATAAGTATAATTTATTTTCTAATCAGTTTACATAAACATGATTAAAATTAGTCAAACTATTAATTTTTTTACGAATAAAAGCTATAGCAACTTTATGATAATTTTACCGACATTCACCATAATGGTGTAATGATAAATATGGCAACGTCAGCACTGCAAACCAGCTGTTTGATGGGAAAACAAAGCAGAATGAGCAGACCAGCAGACTGACTAGAGAGAGCGAGAGAGAGAGAGAGCAGATATGGTGACAGCTGGCGTAACAAAACAATGGATTGGAGTGATTATGTCAATGTTAGTTTTGAATGTTTTTACTTTGAAGTGAATTTGTAACTTAAAATAAAATTGATTTTGTTAGTGGAAGTTTAATAGAAAGTAAAATAAACATATTCTGTTTGTGGTTTTGATTGTGCAATTTTCAATCTGGTGGTAGAAACATGACAACTACAGTTTGAATTGTAACTTAACCTAGAAAATGTGAGTTTATAAAGAAAGGCCAAATAGGCTATACCGGCTACAGTGAAATGTGTTTTAATTTTAAATTAAGTGTTAAATGTGGGATTTTATATCGAGATAATAGGCCTACTACGTTTTTGTTTGATATTTTCAGTCTGTCAGAGACAAGTGACTTGATCATTTTTATAAATGTACTGAGTGAAGAGGATAGCCCTAGTACCCACAACCTTCAAACTTCAGACAGTGAAGTGCATATCCCAGTGATTACCTATTTTAAAATACCTAATTGCATATTGATATTTTTAACTTGTGATACAATATGCAGTTTGATATATAAGTTTTCTGGTTAAATAAATAAATTTATTTTTATAAATTCTGTTTCTTATTTGAATTGCAATTATTCTTAAAGTTACCTTATTTAGTTAGTTAGTTAGGTTGATTATCATGTTAGTGGGGAGGAATTAAAGGCAAGAAAAAAAAACACACAATAACAAGTGATGTGTAGGCCTAAATAATTTAATGCTGCAGCCAACAAGTAGTCTAGGCCAAATTTTTATTAGGCCTAAGGTAGGAGGTACTAATAATTAGTAACCATATAACTTAGAAAATTTGGTATAAGTACTTAAACTACCTATACCCTGCCTAGGCAGGGTTTAGGCCAGGATGAAATTTGTTTCAGCAAAATGCTGCAAACTCTCTGCAAAGATAAAAACTAAGTTAGGCCTAACTGTAGAAAAAATATTATTCAATAACTTAAGTAAGCATTTAAAATAAAAAATTCCAGTAGGCTAATACTACATTTGTTTGAACATTACATCTTTCAATTTTATTTGTAGAAAATTTGCCATAGGCCTAGCCTGCAAAACAATGTAAACTTAGCATTTTTAAGTTGTGAATATCAAGATGCTAAAAATACTACCGCAGCAAAAACCCTGGGCCTAGGCCTACTTAACGCGCAACTACTCGACTCGACTCGATACTCTAAATTTTACTCAAATACTCGACTCGACTCGACTCGAATTGAAAAATCACTACTCGCCCACCCCTAAAAATTACCTCAAGAAGTATCAAATAACACATAAAACCATCGCTCCTTTTTGTCCGAAATCTAATGGTCAAGCAGAAAGGGTAGTTCAAACGGCGAAGAACCTCTTACATGCTTGTGGGGGAGGACACAATGAGGATAAGATAAACGTGATACTGAAACAGCTAAGGAAGACACACCATTCGGCGACAGGACAATCTCCATACTTGCTTATGTTTGAGAGAAACATAAGAACCGAAATGGACTTAATGGTTGAGATTAAACCTACAACGCAAAATAAAAGTCAAGTTATAACTAGAAGAAGTTTCTCAAAGGGACAAGATGTATTAATGAGAAATTACTCAAACACCTCAGGAGAAAAGTGGTCAACAGGAACAGTCGAAAGGCCGCTAGGGCATGTGATGTACCTCGTTAAATCAGAAGACGGGCGGTTATTTAAGAGACACTGCGACCAACTAAGAGCAGCTTAATAGGGGGGAGGATTGTCATATGCTTTAATAATCAGATGATTATTGTTGTTTTTATCTGTTATTGTTTACATTTATCTTTTGTGTTAAATTAGTTCTACGATAAAGTTTACCAATTATTTTACGTGTATTTTGTATATTTTATGAAGATATATCACCTAACGTAATAGCTTATTATATATATGGGAAATTCGCTAATATTTCCTGTATGGAAAATTCACTAAAAAGTGTATATATGCTAGTTTTTGAGATTATTAGGCCAGGATGAGTTTTTTTCATTCAGGTAAGCCTGAAATTCCAACACCTACACCCTGTGTGCTGTATCCTCACCTTTACTGGGTGTGAACGCTGTGAACCTCAAGGTGACATAAAGAGATGCCATGGCAGGGGCTGACAGAGGAGACTGTAAGGCTCTCAGTACACAAGGTACCAGTGTGTTGTAGCTGAACAGTAGACTAGGGGAGTGTGAGGCAGCAGTCACCATGGACACCACCTTGCTCACCTCTTCATGCAACTGTAGGGCAAACATTGTTACAATTAACTTTCACTTTATCAATACAGGTATGCCATGGCAGGGGCTGACAGAGGAGACTGTAAGGCTCTCAGTACACAAGGTAATAGTGTGTTGTAGCTGAACAGTAGACTAGGGGAGTGTGAGGCAGCAGTCACCATGGACACCACCTTGCTCACCTCTTCATGCAACTGTAGGGCAAACATTGTTCAATTAACTTTCACTTTATCAATACAGGTATGCCATGGCAGGGGCTGACAGAGGAGACTGTAAGGCTCTCAGTACACAAGGTACCAGTGTGTTGTAGCTGAACAGTAGACTAGGGGAGTGTGAGGCAGCAGTCACCATGGACACCACCTTGCTCACCTCTTCATGCAACTGTAGGGCAAACATTGTTCAATTAACTTTCACTTTATCAATACAGGTATGCCATGGCAGGGGCTGACAGAGGAGACTGTAAGGCTCTCAGTACACAAGGTACTAGTGTGTTGTAGCTGAACAGTAGACTAGGGGAGTGTGAGGCAGCAGTCACCATGGACACCACCTTGCTCACCTCTTCATGCAACTGTAGGGCAAACATTGTTCAATTAACTTTCACTTTATCAATACAGGTATGCCATGGCAGGGGCTGACAGAGGAGACTGTAAGGCTCTCAGTACACAAGGTACTAGTGTGTTGTAGCTGAACAGTAGACTAGGGGAGTGTGAGGCAGCAGTCACCATGGACACCACCTTGCTCACCTCTTCATGCAACTGTAGGGCAAACATTGTTACAATTAACTTTCACTTTATCAATACAGGTATGCCATGGCAGGGGCTGACAGAGGAGACTGTAAGGCTCTCAGTACACAAGGTACTAGTGTGTTGTAGCTGAACAGTAGACTAGGGGAGTGTGAGGCAGCAGTCACCATGGACACCACCTTGCTCACCTCTTCATGCAACTGTAGGGCAAACATTGTTACAATTAACTTTCACTTTATCAATACAGGTATGCCATGGCAGGGGCTGACAGAGGAGACTGTAAGGCTCTCAGTACACAAGGTATTTTAGTGTGTTGAAGCTGAACAGTAGACTAGGGGAGTGTGAGGCAGCAGTCACCATGGACACCACCTTGCTCACCTCTTCATGCAACTGTAGGGCAAACATTGTTACAATTAACTTTCACTTTATCAATACAGGTATGCCATGGCAGGGGCTGACAGAGGAGACTGTAAGGCTCTCAGTACACAAGGTACTAGTGTGTTGTAGCTGAACAGTAGACTAGGGGAGTGTGAGGCAGCAGTCACCATGGACACCACCTTACTCACCTCTTCATGCAACTGTAGGGCAAACATTGTTCAATTAACTTTCACTTTATCAATACAGGTATGCCATGGCAGGGGCTGACAGAGGAGACTGTAAGGCTCTCAGTACACAAGGTACTAGTGTGTTGTAGCTGAACAGTAGACTAGGGGAGTGTGAGGCAGCAGTCACCATGGACACCACCTTGCTCACCTCTTCATGCAACTGTAGGGCAAACATTGTTCAATTAACTTTCACTTTATCAATACAGGTATGCCATGGCAGGGGCTGACAGAGGAGACTGTAAGGCTCTCAGTACACAAGGTACTAGTGTGTTGTAGCTGAACAGTAGACTAGGGGAGTGTGAGGCAGCAGTCACCAAGGACACCACCTTACTCACCTCTTCATGCAACTGTAGGGCAAACATTGTTCAATTAACTTTCACTTTATCAATACAGGTATGCCATGGCAGGGGCTGACAGAGGAGACTGTAAGGCTCTCAGTACACAAGGTACCAGTGTGTTGTAGCTGAACAGTAGACTAGGGGAGTGTGAGGCAGCAGTCACCATGGACACCACCTTGCTCACCTCTTCTTGCAACTGTAGGGCAAACATTGTTCAATTAACTTTCACTTTATCAATACAGGTATGCCATGGCAGGGGCTGACAGAGGAGACTGTAAGGCTCTCAGTACACAAGGTACCAGTGTGTTGTAGCTGAACAGTAGACTAGGGGAGTGTGAGGCAGCAGTCACCATGGACACCACCTTGCTCACCTCTTCATGCAACTGTAGGGCAAACATTGTTCAATTAACTTTCACTTTATCAATACAGGTATGCCATGGCAGGGGCTGACAGAGGAGACTGTAAGGCTCTCAGTACACAAGGTACTAGTGTGTTGTAGCTGAACAGTAGACTAGGGGAGTGTGAGGCAGCAGTCACCTTGTACATGGAATCGGCCCATCTCCTGCCCATCTGGTTAGGTCTATCTCACCAATTATGAACAATGTTTTTTACTTGTATAAAAGAAATATAATTGGGTATTTTATTTGTATATATTTATTTTATAGCTAGGCCTAATAGTTTAGTAATCACGGCTAATAAATTGTAGCCAACTTAGAACTATTTAGTTCAAAACAGCTACAGTGCCTTTGTTCTCTCTGCAGATGATATTGCACAACACAATCTACATTTCAAGATGTCAGAGAGACAGTCAGACTCAGACAACTGGCGCGCGAACGTCCTGCCAACACCAACACGAAATTATACCAAAAAATGTCTGTATCAATAAGTCAGACTTTTAGATGTATTATGTTTATTTTTAGTACAAAATAAATAACCTAAACACGTCGAAATGTTTAGTTTCATCCCTGCATTACACATTATTAGAAAAATTAGATTCAACTTCAACATCGTCAACTTAGGCTTGCCTTATATTGCGCCAAAAATATTTAGATCTGATATGTAGGAATTTTTTTTTTTTATAAAGAGTATAGAACTAGATTACAAGTTTAAAACAGTGTGATTTTTTTGTGTTTCCCAAGGATTCGACGTTCAATTAATGTCAGTTATCAAGTATATCTTATTATACAAAGTATATTCATTCTTGACCTGTTCAAGGAAAAAAGTTAAGAAATAAAAGTTTTTAAAATGTGGTTGTTTTATTGTTTTATTACACTCTGTATTTAGAAGGTATCCTCATTTATGAATGTGTTTTCAGCTAGACTTAGAGAATTATTTTTATAGTTCAAATTTTTTTGAAGATATAACTAGTGAGAAAATGTTATTATATATGATTTAAGTTCTAATTAATAAATATTATCTTTTTGGTAGGCCCACTCACTGATCTTTTTAAATTTTTTATGTTTAACACAAACTTTTATTCATTTAAATTTATATTTTTTATTTCACATCTATTTATTACATAGCATGCAATAAAGTATCAAATAGACAGTAAACACTGATGATCAAATTTTTTGGTATGTTCTAAAAACCTATGAATGCTAAAAATGCTGAATCGCACACCCCTAGTTGTGTATCAACATTTAGGTGTGACAACCAAACAGATAGTGGTAGACCATTGTTTAATTAAGTGTACCTATTAATGTTTATACAGGGTGATTGGTACTCAGTGTGACAAAAATTTTTTGTTGTAAGTACAAAGTAAATGAAGTGTGATGATGCATATCAAATGTTACAAGTCTCAAAATTAGCTTCCCAAAAAATATTTTATGTTTTTAAAAAATAACCATGCTTTTAAACTTAATACAGCGATTTCTCAATTACCTGTATATGGATTTGAGTAGATAATGTCATTTTTGTGTTCTATATTAAATTTTGAACAAGAATAATGGAAAATTACGGAGGATCAGTTGTAAAAACTCCATTGTAACTAGATTCAAAAATAAAAATTAAGATATTTGATAAAAATTGTAAAAACAATGGTCTATTGCATTTTTCACACCCTGTATACAAGAAAGTGTCGGAATATGTTAAAAACTGTGCCATTTTATAAGCTTTCCAACCATATGCTACACTATTGAGGTTTAGATATATTTTTTTGTTTGTTTTAGTGGTGTGAATACCAGAAAACAGGGAACTTTTTTACTGTTTTTACTGTTCAAGCTGAAACAAAAATACAACTTTTGCTTAATACATGCCGACTTTCTATGTTTTAAATGTTAAAGACACCATGCTTTGTAGTCTTCAAACCATTAAAGTGTACATAAGCAGACATAAACCTCAATAGTGTAGCATATGGTTGGAAAGCTTATAAAAGGGCACAGTTTTTAACATATTCCGACACTTTCTTGTATACAGGGTGTGAAAAATTCAATAGACCATTGTTTTTACAATTTTTTCAAACGTCTTAATTTTTATCTTTGAATCTAATCTATTTACAATGGAGTTTTTACAACTTAGCCTCCGTCATTTTCTATTATTCTTGTTCAAAATGTAATGTAGAACATGAAAATTACATTATCTACTCAAATGCATATACAGGTAATTGAGAAATCGCTGTATTAAGTTTAAAAACATGGTTATTTTTGAAAAACATAAAATAATTTTTTGGGAAGCTAATTTTTAGACTTGGAACATTTGATAAGCATCATCACACTTCATTTACTTTGTACTTACACCAAAAAAAAATTGTCACACTGAGTACAAATCACCCTGTATGTGAAATAAAGCAATTGATTAATTCATTCTTAAAGAATGTATAGTACCTTGCACATTCAATCTTAGTAAAGATTATTACTGAGAGTGTTCACTCACCAGAGTGAGAGCATCTCTGACAACAGCCTCTTTTTCCAACTGCAGTTTTACTGCCTCCTTCTGTTTAGGTGTCAGCTCAGGCTCCTTCCCCTTCCCCTCTCTTCGCTTCTTCTCCTCCAACTCCCTTCGCAGCTGCAGTTCCTCCTGCTGCTCTTTGAATGAGTACACTTTGCTCTCTCGCTTCATGTTCTTGGCGTTGAGCACTGACTCACTCTCCTTCCTTGGAGACAACAGTCAACCAGTGTTATAGACAAGCAGATTCCATGAAGAGCAAGAGTAAGGGTTAATTAGTATGTATAATAATTTAAAAAACTAACTTTTCCGTGGTTTGATTCTTTCAGGCACTAAAAAAAACTGTGCATATAGTTATAACTTATGATAATTTCATAAAGTTGTTTGTTTGAACAAACTCACACTAATTACTAGAATTGCTTTCAGAGCAGTGGAAGCCAGTTGAACGTAGCAATCACGTTCCATGAATATAAGTACAAAAAACTTAAACAACGTCAATTGAAGAAATAAAACTCCTACTTTGTTAATTAAAATTACAAGTTTCCTGAGTATGGTAAGTTTACTAACACTCTGTTTAAAATGAAACCATTTGATTTGACCATTTTTCTTTAAATTCTATTCAGATCTCCAATTTTATAGCTGAACCTTCATCTATAATGTTAGATCAATCTTTTCAAATAAACCCTTTTCCCAATAATTTAAAATATACAGAGCTAAAACTCAAACCTCTCTTTACGAAGGGCGAGAGACAAAATCCGGACAATAATAGACCAATTTATCTTCTAAGACAATTTTTTAAGGTGTTTGAAAAACTAGAATCCAAACAAATCTCAAGTTTTCTTGAGAAGAACAATATTTTGGCTAATGAACAACTTGATTTTAGAAAGGGTTTAAGCAAAATGAAAGCTGTATGAGATTTTATTAGTGAGGTTTCACGGGCTTTTAATGGATAACAGAGCACAATGGGAGTGTTTTGTGACCTATCCAAGGTATTTGACTGTGTCAACCATGATATCCTTTTAAAAAAGCTAAATATTTATAACTAAAAAAAAATCCGTTTTATGGTTGACTTCATACTCTTAAAAAATCGTTTTCAAATAACAGTAATTTTTAAAATTAATGAAAAACCAATACCAGAATGGGAAAAGATTACAGTTGTTGATGTTCCTCAAGGCTCAATCCTTGGACCTTTACTCTTTATTTTGTATATAAATGACTTGCCTAAAATTTCTCAAATAGCCTTATTTTATATGCCGACGACACAACTGCAGTTGTCAAATCTAAAAATGATCAAGAATTATCTTATACTACAAAGCCCAGAACTAGATAGAACTTAAGACAACGAATAACACACGAAGCTCAGCAAATACCGCAGGAAATGATACAGAATGTAGTACAACACCAATATTACAGACGACCCTCTTTTATTTACTTCGATGACTTAAACACGATGCCAGTATATTATATTCTTTGGTCGCTGGTATTACCGCAGATTATGATAATTTTCTCAAATTGTAAAGTTCATCAATATTTCTGGTACTTTAATTTAATGTTGACTGGACCATTTTAAAAGGAATTTGTTAATGTTTTACAATACTTTTCAGTGTCATGCCATGAAAAGTAATACAGTTTTTACATTAGACTCTTGACCAAAGAGGATGTTTTGAACAGTTTAAGTTCCTTCATTGTGTATTGTTCCTACTTTTGTTTGTTTAGTTGAGTTGTTATTGACTAATTGCTGAATATTTTTCCTTAATTAGATAACTATTCCTTGCACAAATTAAATAAAGAATTCATTAGGGACTGTTAATTTTGTGTTTTGTTCAAGTTTTCATTTGTTAATTTTAATTTGTCTCCCCAGCTTGTAAACCCAGCTATTAAATTTCAATTTGATAAAATTATGTTTTTGGCATTATTTAATTTTCTACACCTTCATTATTTACATAATTTGAATTGGCAAGATTGGTATTATTGGTATACTTGACATTTCATTGAGTGAACGTAGCCTAAACTGTAATAATTTGCTTAATCGCGCACAAAAAGATTTGAAAATCGAAAAGATTCGAGATTTGATTTTTTTAGATTCGGATTCGGATTCGAGATTCGAAATTTCCGGATTTGACCATCACTACTTTCTTTGGTAAATTTGATTTTTCCCTGCACTTTCTACATTTTGAAATATTACCGAACAAAAATTGTTAAAATTCGACTTATTGAGGTTAAATATTTAGAAACTTCGACTTATAATTTTTAACATTATGATTAATGTGGATTTCAAGGGGATTTAAAAAAAAGTTGAGATATTAGGGTTCGAGTAATTGAGGTTCTACTGTATGAATACTCACCCAGAAATGACACTCTTGTCGTATAGACTGCCAGATGGAGTGAGGTAGATGAAGTACTCTTCCTGAGATATCTTGAGCAGACTAGGATTTGAGAGAGCAGAGCGTGTGCGAGAGATCACGGGAGGCAGCATTATATCAGGGTTGGAGCAGACCAAGGTTTTTAGAGCTCCCTCATAGCTCTGTCAACAGAAAATAAGATACAAATGTAGTCATGGATGAGTTGCTGATTTCTTTGGTTTGGTTTTTTTACGGTTATTGGTTCCCCCCCCCCCTTTGTTGAAATAAATCGACAGTAAGTAAAGACACAATATTTCATAACTTGACAGAGATTGGTGTGCAATTAATTGGCGAGTTGAGTGATGATTTCATATATTCTCTAGGGCTATTTGTAGATCATTTCTTTATGTCCATACATTTAGCAGATTATTTGTATGAAAGGATGACTTACATTACAGGCACTATGAGGAAAAACATGAAATGTAAATCTGATGCTCTAAAAAAATATTTGAAGTAGGCCAAAAAGTGTACAACCGTAAATAACACAAATTGATGGTTGTGTACAAGGAAAAAGAATCCAGTACTTCTTCTGTCAACTAAGTGTGTTGCAAAATAAGTAGTACAAAATAATGATGTAATTGTAAAAGAAAACCCAGAGATAATAGATTTGTACAACTCTTTCATGGGGATATTGACCATTCAGACCAGATGTTATAGGCTACGCCTACATCGGTGAGCGACGGACTGTTCAGTATTAGAAAAAGGTTGTAGCCTATTACACATTTTTCAAGAATGGTTTTGAACTTGTAAAGGAAAACTATAGTGGAAAATACATGAATAGGTTTCAGTTCACATTATCTATAATTGACAGTATGTAAAAAGAGTGGCTTTTCCATAGGCCTTAGTATCAGTTAGCTGGAGGAGACAATTTGCGGACGGCAGGAGTAGACAATCAGCGGCAAAATTACCAGTTTGGAATGGAAACCTTACCAGATTAAAAGAGAGAAACTGTTGTGTATGTAGCCAGTAGGCTATTGCAGCAGGTGCAAAAAAAAATACCAAACTATATGCACTAGAGTGCCAGAAAGGTGTACACGTCATGAGTTTTGGCCAACATAGGTGCTAGACAATGTTAGACCATTTTAATTTTTTAGGCTAAGTGTATGTACAGTATATAGTTTTATGTTGTAAATAGTTGGTATTACAGTCGGGTCCCGCAAACTCGGCACTCGATAACCCGGAAGTGTGGATAACTCGGCCATCACCTGGCTCAGAAAATTCGTGATTTTGTTTCGTCCAAGTTAAACATGGACTCAAGCCAGCTCAAGTCAAATCATTCGCAGCTCGTACAAAGGATATGTTGCACCGTATCTGATGACTTAATAATAACTTTTAATATAAATATAAATAAAAGAGGCAGTTAAAAAGCTAAAAAATTGTATTGTTCATATTTTTAACCCTAGTTCCCGATAACCCGGCATTTCACAAACTTGGCACCCTTCCAGTCCACATTACACCGAGTTTGCGGGACTCTACTGTATCTTTGTTCTAGTGATGGTCGGATCCGGATATTGGACTACCGGATCCGCCGGATCTAAGCTAGAACTGACGCCCGATCGGATCCACAAAAAATCAAATCTTGGGCTGGATCCGGTTTTAATGGATCCGATTTTTTTTATACTATTAACACAAAATGGGCGAGTATTCAAGATTTCGAGTTCGAGTAGAGTACGGCCTTGAAACTCGAGCTTATCTTTGAACTCCGCCAGTTTGGTTAAAAATTGTAAAAAATCAATATTTGTTAAAATGTAACTTGTGTTTACATAAAATGATGGATAATTTGTATTACTGTAGCTTCTACAGCAATACAAATATAGAAAAAAGCAAGAGGTAGTTGTCCTAACCTATTTTTATAGCTGTCACGACAGAATAGGTGAACTCAAAGCAGTCGCCGGCGACTGACTGGCAATAGTATACAGTAGACCTACTGACTTGACACAGAATAGAATGACATGATCGGTTGTGATTTTGTTTTAAAGTAGGCCTACTGTTTTACAATAGAAAATTCCACTACTGAACTGTTACGTAAGCAATAAATTTATGTTTATAAAAGTCAGAATAGAAACACTATAAAGGCAAAACAATAGAAGGGAGGGAGGGAGGGGTTGTGCAATGACCTCGAAATGAGCGGAATAGCAACATTGAGTAGGTGGTTGGGGGGGGGAAGGGAAGGGTGAGACTTTTGAGCTATATTTAGACTAGACTTACACCACTTCCCATATGGCTGGGTACGGGGATTACAATAGCAGGTTTTTTCCTTGCCTGGTTTGACTTTTGTCTTTTTGTGTAGGAGATTTGAATAATCAAAAATATAATTTGAATTGACCACAATTATTTAGCATTGATAATACAATTTGCAAGGGACCAGGAGGGAATAGACCAAATCACTAAAATTAATAGAATAACACACAAAGTAAACAAGAAATGAAATACAGAACACGATGATTCAACACTGTCACTCAATTTTGTTGTCTAGGGTCAGTGAACTAATCAATAAATAGCCAAAACCAGTTTCCTCCCCCTCTTGCAGTCTCACCACCACCCCTCCCCCTCTAAGTCGGGAGGCCCAACACTTTGTCCTTGAAACATCCTAGCCTCTGAAATAAACCCTTACACCCGCGTTGCTGTTTTTAACAACAGGTTTGTGAATGCGTTCACTATTTTTCATTTTCCAGAATTAACTATCAATTATTATTATTTGCAAGTTACAAATAGGAAACTACATGACATTATGGTATTCAATGACCCATGTATTATCAAAAATTAATAATTCATTACTTATTTTGATAATAAAAAGCATTCATTATATATATAATCATCAAAGTAACTGTCAAACTTTATAACCAAACATTTTATTCTATAAAATACAGATGGTAAATAGGGGTTGGTTTAAAGGAAATAAAATACAAAACAGATTAATTAATTATTTTGATAAACGATAGAAAAGGTTCTGGGATTGATTGAACTAAAATAACTGCAGGGAAACTTATAAGTAGAAAAGTCGTCAACCACAATCTGTTTAATCAGTACATCGTTAGAGAGAGAGAGAGAGAGAGAGAGAGAGAGAGAGGGGGGGGGGAGAGAGAGAGATAGCAGATAGGGGCGTTTGATAGGGAATCTGAAAAAGTAAACAAACAAGGAACAACGACGTGACAATACTCGTTTATAGCCTTATTGTCTCGCCCACTACATTTGCACACATGACCACTTTTTGTTTCTTCCTTATCTTTTATCCGTTCCAAAATAGAATTCCTGAAATAGTTTGTTGGTATAATCTCCCCTCCTACACAAGGCGCAGTGCTCAGTGCACACTGTAGGTTGTCACGGCAACCATGTGTCGTCATAGCGACGAGCCAATCACGCACTCGTACTGAGTTGTAGATTACGATTTAGCTTTGTTCTTTAGAAATAATTATAATGATTACCAGAAAATGTAAACTTACAGGGTTAACTTTGAAGTTGTCAACAACCATTTTGATGAACTGGTCACTGAAGTCTTCGATATAATTGTAGATATCCAATTTAAAATATTTCACAATTTTCAACCAAATGTCAGGTGCAGCACTCACTGAAACAAAAATATTTGATTACAAGCTATGTACACTTAAGTTTACAGTGATATGCAATTCTATTTGAATGAATGTAATGAGAATCAGAACTGAGTCTATTTTGATATTACATGACAATGATAGTTATTACACAGAAGAAAAGAATGTTAGCCATCAGGATTGTGTATGGTGTCTATATTATTTAAAATCAGTTCTATGTGTTGTTGGAATAATCAAGTGGTGGTTATAGTCCTTATTTTTGAATCTGGAGGTTGTTTTTGATCTTGGATGAGTAAATTCTGAACCCAGATACCACTTGTCATTAGGCTATCATTAGAGACAATGATGCTATATAACAAAAAATAAAACACTTTTAAAATTCCCATGACATTGACACATAACATTTTGGGGCAGATAGGATGATTCCTTTGGTTGGGTTAAGTAACTCACCAATCGCAGGATGGTGACAAGGTAAAATAGCATCAATGGCTATCTTCTTCTTGTCATCAACAGTGAGGTTAGATCCAGAGCAAAGAGTTATGACAATGTCTACCAAGACTTTAGGTGACACTTCACTGGTAGAAGGGGTAGCCTCACCAGCTGCACCTGCTGTCACCCCTTCTTTAGTCTCCCTCTCTGCATCAGCTGACTGCAAATAGAAGAGTCAATCATTTCAAGTAGGTATGGCCGGGTCCCGAAATTTCAGGAAATTTTCGGGAAAAACATATTCTCGATTTTCGGGACGGGATTAAATTAGATTCGGGAATTTGATCCGATCGTCGGCGATTTTGCCGCTTCGCGAGTGACAATGACGCCGCTATCGCTACAGATGTTCACGATAGTTCCGCGAACGCAGGAGGCGAAGTCAAACCGACGATTATGCCGTGACTGCGAAGTCATACCGACGATCGCGCCATGACCGCAGAGTCATACCGACGATCGCGCCATGACCGCTGAGTCATACCTACGATCCCGCCGTGACCGCGAGTCATTTTGACGATCGGACTGTGACCGCGAGTCACAAGTTTATATACTTTTTTTATACATTTGTATAGATCAGTACCACAAATGGTAACAATTGATTTTGTTTGTCTTTTTTGGTAACTGCAATACTCTAAACTTTCTTTTTATGCACAGGAAAAAATCCCGTCCCGTCCCGTCCCGAAAATTGGGAAGGAAATAAAAATCCTGTCCCGTCCCGTCCTGAACTAAAAATTCAATCACGTCCATCCCTAATTTCAAGTGCTTAACAGATATTCTTTCTTCTCTCTACTTCTAAAGAAGCTAAGTACAGTAGACCCCCTCTTAACCGACCCTAATGAGACCAGACCTAGGTCGGATGATTCAAAAGGTCGGATAAAACGGGCAATCCCTGAAATCATAACATAATAAAGTGCTATTCATTTGGAATTATATAATCATTATTTTGAAGTCATACTTGCATTATTTATAAAATAAATTACTCTTGTCTCCTTTTTCATATTGATAGAAATGTCACAAATAAACACAAAACACGGTTAAGTCAAATAGGCCTACTTTCAGTGAATATATTATAATACTAGGCAAGAGTCAATAAAATTCCTATTTTAATAACTTTACTACTATAATGTATTAATTAATGCTTTCCAAATACATCGTAATACAGTAAAGAACCTTTTGTCGTCATTAAAGATACAAGCGACCATTTTGTTACAAGACAGGACATTTATTTATAGCCTCTCACTGGAGGCTCGAGGCACAAAAACTATCTTGACCTTGGAGTTGTTAACACCCCTTCCCTGCCCTCCCTACAAGTTGCGTTGTTTGTTTACTCCAGTGATAAGATAATCAGTTCTCAAAATCGTAACGCACTTTATGATGTTATAAATTTGCCGCACAGATAACAAATCAGATCAGATGTGCTCGAGCTACGAACGATGATGACAAACCGACAATAGGCTATGCTATATTTTTTGTGATCATCATAAAATAACTTATTGTTAGTCATATCCTGTGGAGATAAGCGTATGGTTCAGTTCTCATCGCCCTGCGTGGGAGCGGAAATGCCGAGATTCCTAGAAAGCGGCGGTTAAACCGAGCTGCTCTCAAAGCAAGGTCGGTTAAAACAAACTGTATTATTTTACGATCAAAGGCGGATGATCCGATTATCGGTTAATACGAGGTCGGTTAAGAGGGGGTCTACTGTATTATTAAGTTTACCTATGAATCCATCTGTTTCCAACAACTGCCTGCAACTCCTTCAGGCTCCAACAAACAACACAAGTTCATTTTAAAATAGTTGTTTAGCCTCCGGTTTACTGTATTATACTTAAAATGGTTTACAATACCTGCATATAGTAATCCTTTGTTTCTGATTTTGGCAACTAGTTTCGGTTCTTCTGAACCATCATCAGGCCTCAAGGTGTCAAGTAATCACTTCATTCGAAGGTCGTTAACAGAGTTCAATAAATAAAACATACACAAAACATGATAACACGATTCACATTAGAGGAGGAAAAAAACCAAGCGTTAAATTTTCTGGACCTTACAATTAGGAAACAAAACGATCATTTCAAATTTAAAATTTACAGGAAGCCTACTTGCACCAACCAGACCATAAATGCCGATTCACACCACCCACACTCTTTTAAAAAATCGTCGCCTACAACAGTTTTATCCATAGATTGTTATCAATACCAATGAATCAGACTGATTAGAATGAAGGAATAGACACGATAAAATACATAGCAGTCGCAAATGGCTTTCACTCCAGTCTAGTGGACAAACTGACTTTTAAACATTTAAATAAACCTCAAATTAAATCCATAGAAAAGAAAACATATATTTCAGCTATTTTTGGTTCACATATCAGTAGCACATTTAAAAATATCATGGATAAAAATAAATTCACTGTATCGTTCAAGACTAACAATGAACTTGGACCACTATTGAAAGAGAAAACAGAAATTAATTCAACCATCTACAATAAGTCTGGAGTCTACAAAATAAATTCTAATGACTGCACGAACTACTACATTGGAAAAACTTCACGCTCGTTCAAGAAGAGATTTAAGGAACATATGCCCAGAAAGACAACACCTCCCCAAACATCAAATTTACAGAACATCTGGTATTACACAAACATAATTATTCAGACATCAATAGTATTGATTATAGAATCAGCTATTGATCGAAAAGAATCAGCTATTGGATGGGTATAACATAAGAAGACTAGAGCTCCCAGCCACAAGAATCTCAAAGACCTCAGCATCATCAATTGATATGGTGTGTTCAAATATTCACACCATGATTAAAGTTGTGGTCTCTCACACAGGTCTATCAGACCACACAGGACAATACTGCACACTGGACCTTCCAAAAACAAAAGCAGCAACAACATATACATCAAGACGGAACCTTAACCACAACAATCTGCTGATCTTAAAAAATGAGCTCTCCACTGTAACGTGGGAACCTGTTTTGAGAACAAATAATGTGGAAGGGGCCTACTTTAATTTCAACCAAACGCTCCAGCTTGCAATTAATAATGCATGTCCAAAAAAAAAGATTTCGGACTACACAAAAAAGGGGTAAACGACTGATGTATGACGAAGAAACTATGACACTTAAAAAGGAGTTTTTAATAGCACAAGACAAATAAATTTCTCCTAACTGGTCATCCTGATGACAAGAAGATAGCTACAGATAAGAAGAAATCTTACGACCAAAAATTAAAAAAGGCAAGGCAAGAAACAAGTGCTGCATACATTGAACAAGCAGAAAACAAAGCCAAAGCCATATGGAACACCATCAATAGTGAGAGGAAAGGGAGGAAAGAGCTTGACAACAATTTTACAATAGAACTAAATGACAATGGAAAGAAACTTACTGACCCTAAAGATGTAGCAAACCGCTTTAATTATTATTTTGTAAACATAGCTGAGGAGACATTAAAACAAAACAGCAGATACAACACACCACCAATAGCTCAAAATCCTCCAGCTACCACATTTAACACTCTCTCTTCCTTCCGTCCAACAACACCTGACGAGATAGGCAGGACCATTCAATCATTAAAGAACTCTACATCATCAGGCATTGATGAAATATCTTCAAAAATCCTTAAAACATGTGCAGATGAATTAATAATGCCGCTAATGAAGATTGTAAACATGTCGATGGCAGAGGGGACTTTTCCAACCAACTTGAAAACCGCCTTGGTTTTTCCTAAACACAAACAAGGGGACCTACAAAACATCTCTAACTACAGACCTATCTCGCTGCTCTCATCTGTCTCCAAACTCATAGAGAAGATTATAAAAGTAAGAATCCAGGAGCATCTTAGTCAAAACCAAGCATTGACAAACAGCCAACATGGGTTTGTTCCTGGAAAATCAACCACAACTGCTCTGATAGACCCATCGACATATAAAACTAACTGGATCGGCTGCTAGGCTCCGCGACCCGAGCCAACGACCGGGGTTGCGTTTTAGATTTTGCAGGCGTCATGTGGGATTAAGCGTCTCGCTGCGCCACATCTTAGCATTGTCGCGGCCAGGACGATGCACTTTATCCAGCCCTTTACTCTCTACTAAAACGATGTAAGGCATTTTAATAATCAATTTTCATGAACTTTTGTACAAGTAATAAAAGTGTAAAAATAACCCTGTAAATAACCGAGTTTTTTTAGTTATTAATTACAACAGTTAATAAATATTAACTGACGGCGAATATTTCACACTGAGGTTCCTTAAGAAATATAATTTAAATTCCGATTTTAAATTTTTAAGGATGGAATCTATATAAATATATATTAGATACAAATAAGTTATCGTTGGTGTTGCACCTTATTACAGCCGTATTCAATTTAATTGATGTCTTAACTGTACCTATAAGTTTTGCTTTTTCTGTCTGGATTCCAAAATGTTCGTTTATGCTAAGACAATGATAACTCATTTTAGTAAAACATTTGTTCAGCAAACCATCATGAATCGTTACGATTTACGTTGTTCATGTATCAATAGTTCGTGGCCTATTTTGGTAATTTGTATTATAAATTAGCAATCTAAATCGTCTAATAGTACTTCATTTCATATTGTAAGCCGTCATTTTGACAGTATCGGGTCATCTTCGGTCTAAGCAAATATAAATTGTTATGATAAAATTTTATGATTTTGAGAAAGATTTCAAATATTAATTTTATATGTACTTGTTATGCTTGAAGCGTTGCAAATTCCTTAATTAAGTTCTATATTTTTGTTTGTATGTCTGTTGCTAACGCATTAGTGTCCTTTTTCTCAATGTCACGAAAAAAAGGTAATGAAAATGTCAACCCGAATAAAGTGTTAAATGGTGAGGTTGAGGCAATAGTTTAAATACTTTTAGCCATTGTGGAACTAACTTTCAACTATAGACTTACCTTAGGGATATGCCTCATAGATCTAGGCCTATAAAGCTCTTTTTAGTTTAATCATTGGATTTAACATATGGACCAACACGAGCCGCGTGACATTTAATTGCGAAGCATTTGTTTTGGCTTGAAACAATCAGATACTGTATTTGCGAAGGTTTATTAGGTAATAGTTTTTCCAGCATATCTGAAAATATGCAAACCAACTGCTGTTCTTAATATAAGGTTTCAACTGACTACTATAAGATCCCCGTGCGTAG